CCTGCATTAAAAATAGACATTTACCATAAATTATAGTTATCTTATATTATTAGATACATTCTTATAAAACATGTTTTAGTTAAGGAGTTATTGATACTTCAAGTGCAAAATGATGATATAAAACCTTGATAAAAATGCACTTTTAAGTACTAATCAACTGTTATTTGATCCCTATACTTAGTTCCCTTAAATTTTACATCATCTATATAGAGTGAATGGAGTTTGGAAGTGTCACATATATATAAAAGAGAACAACAAATACATGAAGAATATCAATGATTAGAGATATCATTTTCTTGTTATTAAATCTTACAATTCTATTATAAACATATATATATATATATATATATATATATATTCTGCATTATAAAATCATTAATTAAGTTTTACACTGATTTGAACTTCCAATCAAAGGAAAAGTTCAGTCGAAAAAGCCAGAGACAGAAGCCTATTTTAGATGTTGAACCCTTTCATTAAATTTCAAGTCTTAGTTTCCATTTGTTAGCAACAAATGATTGCTAACATTGCTTGCTTGTTTTCTGGGATTTGTATACACTTCGATTGACATTAGTAATGATCTGGGTTGCAGAAGCTGAAGTCACAAGGCTCTTAATAGTTACATGACAGTACTCTGTCATGTACCACCCAGAGATGTCGGTAAGGTTTTACAAGCTACTAGCACTTCTTACCACGTTGGGAAAGATCAGAAAAAAATCATGCGAGATGTAATAGCATGTGGAAGTCATCTTGTAATGCATCTATAATAAGCAGCTAGAACCACTAGGCTTACTCGAGAAATAAAAGGCTTCCCCTAAGTTACGTTGGCCAGCCTGCATAAAAGCAGTCATGCCAGTCTGGTAGGTTTTCAACCGTAGTTGTTGCCGTCCACTCAAACCTCATGGCTTATAATGACTAAGGGTCTGTTTGGTGCTGTGTTTCAAAAGTGTTTTTGAAAAAAATCGTTTGGTGCTATGTTTCAAAAGCGTTTTTGAAAAAAATTAAAAAAATTTTTTATTTTAAATTAATATATTTTTAATGTTTTCAAATAATTTTAATATACTAATCTTAAAAATAATTTTTAATAAATAAAAATATATTATTAATATATTTTTCTAAATAAAAAGTATTTAAAAAGTAACAACAATAACATTTATAAACAACTTCATTCGAAGCTCCGTTTTGGACGATGCCAAATGGGCAACAAGCTCCGTTTTGGACGATGCCAAATGGGCTCTAAGAATCTTTCCTGCTCTTTCTCGATGGCCGAGCCTCTAGTGCTGTACTTTTTACTGGCATCACTATTTTTACCGCTCTCTGGCTGCTAAGTATTACTGAATGTTACTAAGTTCAATATGAAATAACCATAGCATGACACTTCCAATTCCGCGGAACGAAACAGCAAGAAGATAACAGTCCTCAAAAGAGCTTAAGGCAAGGGAGAATAGTTAAAAGCCATTGGGCAACAAATCACCATTCAATCCAATCTTGCTTGTTTCCCCAAAAACTTTCTGGGGGTTCATCCAACCTCCTTTCCCCACCATCTGATTCGTAAAATAATGATGAGGAGATTTTATTCTCAGCAGGAAAAAAATTATTGAACCCAAAGTAGAAAAACTCAGAGAAAAGAGGAGGGGGGGAGGAAGCAAATATCAAATAATCTAACACAAGGAGTTCCACCAGATAAATCCCCAAGCAGAAGTATTCTGCAACATCAACGACATATTTGGCTGACATGATACCAGAAAGGCAGAAACAGGTCTGCTTTTTTTTTTTTTTTTCTCTAATCTACAAACCACAAATAGACCAGCGAATGTAAACGTGAGTGCCAAAGATAGGTTTAAAAGTAAAGCATCGCTAGAAAAATTAATAAAAGCGTTTTTGAAGAACTATCTTCATAGTAAGAGGCTGCTCAGACAGCTAACTCTGTTCGAGAAATCAGGATTCCATCAGTATCTGCATAAAGCCATTCTCCATCACTGATTCTGGTGCCACCTATGGTAATAGGAACATGTTTCTCTCCAATCCCCTTCTTATTGGCTTTCATTGGATGGGAGGCCAGGGCTCTCACTCCAATATCACAACCATTAATCTCGTCAACATCCCTTATGCAGCCATTAACCACTATACCAGACCATCCATTGTTCTGAGCTTGTACCACAGGATTCCCTCCAAGTATCGCACAGCGCAAACTGCCACCACCATCAACAACAAGAACTCTGCCATTACCCTTCTCCTCAAGAAACTCACGAATTAAAACATTGTCCTCAAACACCTTAAGAGTCACTACTGGACCAGAGAAGACTTGGCGCCGTCCATAAATCTGAAAGATTGGTTGGAGTGCTCGAAGCTCACCACTAACAATTAGCTGCGGATTTGCGTCACAAACCTCGGCGGTCGTAACCAATGCCATTGAATCCAAGTTCCTTGAAGAAGAGACACGCATTAGACAAAAATCACAAAAACAAAATCATATGCATATGGGCTTTCTAGTTCAAATAGAAAGGTAAAAACCTAACATTTGAACAGCAATAGAGAGCAAGATCAGAAGCTAATTACATAAAACTTGTATCACTCTTCTTATAAATCATAAAGTGAAACAAGCTAGGAATTTATATTGCAACGTAACACACGGTAACTAATAAAATCGAGCGATGGAGTGATTAGGGTGAGGGAGGCACCAGTACGGAATTACCCCATGGTAATCTTACAAACATACTAATCCCAGTACTGAATGCTCATCAGAAATACGCATCTTGGACAGCATAATCGTTCATTTGAAAGCAATCAGTCTGAACGGATCGCTCAAAAAATGAACAATTCTCAATAAATTCTTTAGTTAACTTACAAAAGACTCACTCACATAAAATCCCAAGTAATTTATGGCATCTAATTTAGATCCAAGCATTCTTGATAACAACAATGAGAGATTTGAGACAGACAGTTCACGGACGGGCTATAATAATGGACAAGAGAGTTTACAAGCATCAAATCTTAAAGAAATTAATTTTTTTTAAGAAAAACAACATGATCTGGATGTTCGTTCAACTTTACCTGCAAATTGCTATCAGGGAGTGCTTAGAAAGATGCCTTTGATTCGAGAATACGCACTCAGTCACTGAAAACCCTGTGCGTGTATGAATGAGTGTCAGAGAGAGAGAGAGAGATTGGTATCTGAGAGGGGGGAAGGTGAAGTTAGTTAGTTTAAGTAAAAAGCGCGTGCACGCAGAGGAGGTCAATGGTCGATCTGCTTATGATACCCCCCACGCGGGTTCTAGTCATTGGTCCGGTGGTTGTCTTGAATTTTATTTTTTTCCAATTATATTATAGATTTTATTTTATTTTATTATTTAATATTAAATTAATAATAAATTAGTTTTTGTATTTTTTATTATATTATAAAATTTTCTTGGCCCCCATTTTTAATTTTTTAGTTATTTTATTTTATTTTTTAATAATTTATTTGGATTTTTACTTGGCCCCATTTTATCATTTAGTATAATATAGTATTTTAATTTAATTTTATCTTTTTGATTAATTTTTTTCTTGGATTTATCTAATAAATAAGATTATATCAAAATAACTCTTATATTATTTAAAATATATACAAGTAGATTATAAAAAAATCACATAGAAAATTAATAAAAAAATAAAATGATTTAAAAGAAGCGCAGATATTGCATGTATTATATTTTTTTAATAATTATAAGTAAATTACACAAAATATTTTCTCCAGGAGTAAATTTAAAGCTAAAAGATAAGAATTTGTTATTTATTGTTATGAAATTTTGTTTCAATGCCATGATTTTTTTCACTATTAAGATATAATTAATTTCAATATAAATTGAACCACCTCAAATTTATATTTCTTTACTCTCTTTTTTTTCTAAGAAAAAAAAGAGGAAATTATCTAAAATCCCAAGAGACGTTTAGAGATTTTAGCTTAATTGTTAAGTGAATTTATTTTTATATTATTATTTTAAGATTTGAATTAAGCTCGTAGATGTACTTGTCTAGCATGAACGGGCTACTTTAAAAAGCTAATCTGAAAATGATTTAATTTGGACTTGAGCTTGTGCTATTCACGCATGCCCAGGAAGACTTGAAAAATATGTGGCTGTGAAAAACCACGGCTTCCATCAATAAATGTATGTGAACGGCTGATTGTCACGTCGAATGATGCCTACGCGGTTCATTCTTACTTTTTGTAAACATATTAAAATATTTTTTTAATATATTAATACATTACAATAATATAAAAATAAAAAAATATATAGTTTACAGACACACCAAGCAAGGCCATGATCTCGTTGAAAAAGGGAATGCCAAGATGGGTTAGTAAATGCTTCCGTAATAAATAAATAAAAAATGTCAAAACTAGTGGAAAACGTGGTGATGGTACTCATGTCAATCATGGTGGCTTTTAAAATGGGTTGTATAGTTCCATGGGGTTTAAATTTATAATTCTAGTAAATTTAATTTACTATGTTTTATAAATTACAAATATAAATCATTTAAAAAAAATTAAAAAAAAAACTTAAGTGGACTAAAGATATCAAATTAGGTTAGATTTTGTATGAATATTAAAAATATTAACATGTTACTTTTATATTGTTAACTTTTATAAGTTTATATTTAATGACAAATCTAAAAATAAATATTATAACATTTTAATATCAGGTCTAATTTTTATATTTAACACACCATTAAATTTTATTTTTATTTTTTTTCCTACAAAAAGACAAGTATTTTTTGTTACATTAAAAAAAATCCACTAATAAGAAATTTTTAGATGAGACATTTTTTAAATAAAAATAAAAATAAATTATTAATTTACAAACTATTAAATATAAAAAAATATAAGGTGTATAAGTTAAGTTAGGTTAACAAAGTTTTAAAAATCTTTACCCTAATTTGTGAAATTCATTTCTTAAATTTTGTGACAACTTTTACTGATTAAATCGAGAAAAATAATATAAATATTACAAATATACCAATATTTTTTAACATCCCTCCTACTATAAATCCCTTAGAATGTCTTTCCTAAATATACAACAATAATTAGTCCGTGTGACCAAGCGATACATTACGGATGCGATTATTTGAAACTAATGTGCTACAAAAAAGAAGAAAGTTAAAAAAGAAGAACGTTATGGATATGTTTTTCACTATCATGAAAATCTTTAATTAAAAACAAAAAAGATGATATTCGTATTTTATTAAAAAAATATAAATTAATGATTCATATAATGTGAAATAGAGATTAAAACGATTCATTGCATAGGGACACAAGTATAGTTTTCAGTTTTTTAATTTAATTGAATAGAAATAACAATAGATATTCATAAAAAAAATTTAAACCATGAAAAAATTTATATTTTACTCAAGATTTTTTTTATTACTCATATACTTTATTTGTTTAAATAAATACTTTATTGTTAGCAATATATATGGTTTATAGTATAAAAATAAAGGTGATTAAAATATAAATTAAAAAAAAATTTATTGACTTGAAAGAAGGAGTAAAAATAAATCTTTCTAATCAAAACTCTTTTTTCTTATTTATATTTTTTTTAAATATCTTTTTTATTTAAAGTACTGTTTTTTAAATTAAAACTTATCATAATTTTAAAAGCAGGTTTTAATAAAAAAAAATCATGAATCAATAATTTCTACTAGAAATACAAAAAAATAATTTGAGAAAAATAAAATTAAAAATTACAATAAAAAAATATATTTTATGTATATTAAATATTCTTGAGGGAATCTTTAGAAAAAATTAATCATATTAGATTCATATATAATTATTAAAAAATAATTATTAATATTATCATAAAAAACTATAATATTATTTAAAGAATATGGCATAATAGGATAATTATTTAAATATCATTTTGTATAAATTTATTTAAAGTAAATATTATTATAAAATGTATAAAACAATCAGGCCATTCGACAAAGAAAAAACAAAGAGGCACCATGTGCCTAGGCTGAAAAGAAAGGCTCACGCTTGGGTTTGGAAGTTAGGCGCGTACAACTGTTGTTTATCTTGTGAAAGGGGTGGATGACATCATCCATCTTTATATATATTTATTTAAAAAATAGTGTGAACAATATATCGTTTCCTCATAACTTTTTTTTTTTTTTACTATTGAAGGTAGCTTTAGTGATGAAAAATTAAATTTCAAGTATTTAGATTAAAAAAATTAAATTTTAATTTTTTATTAAAAAAATAAAAAACCATTTTATAGATCTCTAGAACCCTATTAATAACAATAAAACACATCTTAATTAAATAAAACAAAATCATAACCCAACAAAATTATTTTTTTCAAGTTTTGATCTACCTGTTGGATATCATGAAATGTAAAAATCATTTTCATTTAGTCTTCCTCTTAAAAACGAGTCTAAAAATACTAAAATTATAATTATTGGCTATAGAAATTTAGCTATCTAAAAGTTTTTTTTCTTTTTTTTTTTTATAAGTAACTTTTTCTCTCTTTTCTAGATATCCCAAAGACTCAAATAAATAAAAAATAAAAATAGGACCGAATTATAAAAATCCTAAAGAATAGGTGATAGTTATGAAAAGGTGAAATTGGAGGGACCAAATTGAACATCTTAACACCATTTGAATAGTTAATGCATGGAAATGTTATTTTTTAATATCAATTTTGGCACATGTTCTTTCAATTTTAGTTTTAAGAACAATCTGAAATTCATTGTTATATATTTTATCTTTAATCCAATATTTAAATATTTAATTATATATTAATTACTCGAGATCATAGAAATC